ATTTGTTGCTAAACTTTATGGTCTTTCTACAAATTCCTGTTTGTTTTCTAAAGAATCCTCACAAAATTTCTTTCCTCTATTTTCTCTCTCTATTTTTGATTTTCTACTCACTAGTGTTGGTTATTTTTCTCTTTCTCTCTCTTTGTATCTATCTTTCTATCATTTTTTTCTTACTTTTCTCATTCCCTCTTTCCTCCATATGTGTCTCAGTTGTTTCTTTTCTTCAAATGATCTATCTGGGAACTATTTTTTCTTAGTGATCAGTTTTACTTTGCTGACATGGCTCTTAGGTTTGACATTTTTCTTACCCATTGTATAGGAAAATTGTTCCCTAGAGAGTTCTACAGGATTCCAGAAACAAAATTAGAAAATCACAAAAACATAAACAGATAGACTTAGGGAAAACCAGGGTTCGGAAGGCTCTCTGGCACTTGGTCCCTTGGTGCCAGCAAGCAAGCATAGTTCCTTGAGTGCACACAGGGAAGATTATCATTGATAACATGCAAAAATGAAGTATCTATATTAGTAGTACATTCAGAGCCACAACAGGTTGTGAGGAAAACATGTTTCCTAATCTCCTGAGACAGAAGACTGGCTCCCAGATAAAATGCAGACATGAAGTTCACCTTACCTAGCCTTGAAGGTGAACAGCAGCTCAGTTTCAGATGCTATCTTTCTATCTTTCCAACAGTAAGGAAAAGGCCTGCCCTCCAGTCTCTTAACCCTCTCCAGAATTCTCTTTTAACCCTTCTGTGGCCAGCCCTCAGTGTTCTCATTGTGGTCAGGCTGGAATTCCAACCTCTCAAACCTTTTCCCCCTTCAGCTCAACTTCAGAGTTCCCCACAGAAAAGTATTTTCTTCGCCCAACTTATAAACTACAAGAAAATCAGTTTTCTCCTGATTCTGTTATCTTTGGTCTAACTTCATTTGATGTGGTATTTGTTTTGTCTTTCCTTCCCACTACTTTTGAATATTTTAATTCACTGCCAGTATATGATAGGAACTGGTTTTGATAAAAAAAAAATACAGTGACAAGGTGTTCTTTATTAGAAATATCACTTGTTGCAAAATCTCACGGATTTCTCAGGAAATGATTTGGATCTCTGAGGAATTTTGCGATTAACTAACACAAGTGGAAATATATCCTTAGGGATCTACTGGAGAAATGACTCAGAAATATGTGACACATTGGAGCATTTGTTCATATTCATCATTTTTGTCATATTGAGTATTCCTTGAGCTTGTATACATTTTCCTCCACCTTCCATGAAGTCTATTAAAATGAAAATATTGTAAAGAATATTTTATTCCCCTCCCACATATATTTTGTATTGTAGAATGTAGGCAAAGTTTTCAAAACTTCATGGTAGCAGTTCTTTTTTACATAGGATGGAAATATCAGGGTATCTGTGACCACTTTTCAATATTTAGTATTTAAACCAAACATGGTTCACCTAGGGTATTTTAATGTGTGAACTCAATGAAATCTTATATGGGCAAAATAAATCATTAGCTACTTTCTGGAGTACTGTTAGTATTTTTGAATATTCATGTGGACACTGCTTCTCATAGGTCTAGTAATATTCTATGTTCTGTATTCCATGTCATATCCTGAATGTGTTCTGCTTGCTTATGAGAGTACCTGTTAATAGAAAGTCAAAATAGGATTTAGGGTGAAGCAGTATATGTAAATGCAGAAAAAATATTTGTTTAATTCATTGTTACCCTTATATGTACTAAAATTTTATCAAAAAATGATAATACAATTTTTCAGACACCTCCTTAGACTTATTGTTGTCATGCCACATTATTGTCTCCTTAGAGTTTTTATCTTGTCTCTATTGCTAGCAGCAGAAATGTGTTTGCATGCAATAGGGAAACTGTAATTTTTTATTGGTCTTGGGGCTTAAATTCTGGGCCTGGTTCTTGTCCCTCAGCTCTTCAGGTCAAGGTGAGTACTCTACCACTTGAGTGACAGTGCTACTTTCTGTTTTCTGGTGGTTTATTGGAGATAAGTGTCTCATGGACTTTCCTGCCTGGGCTGGCCTTGAACCTAGATCCTCAGACCTCAGCCTCCTCAATAGCTAGGAGGATAAGCCACCAGTGCCCTGCCAATCTGTGTGTTTTAATGACCAGGTTTATATATTGTCCAATATTTCTAATTTGCTATTTAATTTTCCCAGTGAATAGATAACACAGCAAGCTGCAAACATTTAATGTAAGACAAAAGCATACCTGCAGCATAATGAAATTCCTGATTGGAATTCTCATGACCCAGGTCTAATTTCTTGATGGAAATGTGCCATTACAGAAGCTGATGTCATTTGATGATGTGGCTGTGTATTTCACATGGAAGGAGTGGCAGGATCTGGATCCTGGTCAGCGGACCCTTTACAGAGATGTAATGCTGGAGACCTATAGCAACCTAATGTCCTTGGGTGAGCAAAGGTCACTTTTTCTTGGAAGATCAAGTGCTTTTATTTTAGTAGACATTTGACTGTTTATGTTATCTACGTATAAGATTCCAGTCCATTCCCAGCTAAAAAACTGCTAGTATAAAAGCCAGCCAAATTCAGGTCTGGGAGCTTGTTGTTGTTTGCCTTGCACTACTGCAGAAACCACAACTCCATTTTGGTTTTAGTTTTGGGGTATATTCTGGGTTTCCATGCCCATGTTGGTTTCAAGCCTGCCACTTCAGATCTCATCTCTTCAATGAAGGATTACAGTTTTAAGCCTTTGAACCATAACATTTTCTAAAAACAAACAAACAAACAAAAAAACTAAAAATGATTCCAGTCCATGGGAAGTGTCATTTCTTTGTAAGGGAAACTTCAACTTCATTATATGTAACTCAAGAGCTAATTTTATTTTCAGTCTTTAAGATTTCTAATCAATTTTGTACAAAAGTTCTAAACGATGATCCAATAATAGGAGATTGACTTCTCAGACTTGGGATAATTATTATAGGTGGATCTACAGTCTAGATAAAATATACATTACTACTGACAGTATGATCTGGAAATCAGTAGGTGAAAGTGTGTATTTGTAAGCCAAACTTGACACAGAGTTTAGTGCATCAAGATTGGAATTCTAGATACTCTGGAGGCTGAAATCTGAAGATTTTGGTTTGAAGCCCGCAACTGTGGAAAAGTGACCATGAAACTCTTATCTCCAATTAACCATTCAAAAACTAGAATCGTAGGCAAGACTCAAACTAGTAGAATGCTAGCTTTGAGCAAAAGAGCTGAGTTCAAGCCACACAATGGACACAATAAACTCAAAGCTGGGGGAAACTCCACCATGGAGTTATTAAGAATAGAGAAACCATGGGCTGGGAAGATGTCTCAGGGGTAGACCAATTCCCTTGCATGCTTGAGGCCCTGTGTTCGATATCTCAGCACACATAAGCAGGGAAATAAAGCTAGAATTGGTGTTGTGGCTCAAGTGATAGAGTGCTAGACTTGTGCTTAAGAGCTGAGAGACAGCTCCCAGGCCCAGAGTTCACGCCCCACAACTCGACGGCCCCCCACAAAAACAATTGAGAAACCAGATTTAGGAGCAACCTTGCGAACAGGATGTCTGCGACCTTACATTAATGATGACCCAGCAAGAGCAATTGTTCTCCACTATTTCTTATTCACAGGGCACTGTGTTCCTAAACCTGAATTGATTGTGAAGCTGGAGCAAGGTGCAGAACCATGGATAAGAGAAACCTCAGACAAGAATTTTACAGGTTGGTTAAAGCATCTTGAATGGTGATGATGGATCCAGAGCCCAGTGGGTCTGTTTATATTGAGCTGTACAGAGCAATAGTATTCCTAGTGCCCCTGAGTCATGTGTGGCAGAGAACTAGGTGATCCTTTGTCTCAAGGAATTGTCAATCCAGAATTCACATGGAGACACACTGAATTTGGTGTGCCAGTGTAGGCAGTGTTAGCAATTCCCTTTTTCTGTAAAGAAGTCATTCATAAAGAGAAAAAGAGAATAAGAAATGTAGAAAGGAAGATCTCATTTTCTTTTAAACTAGTATTATGCAGGTAGGAGGAAAATAGGAGTATGCTAGGGCTGCTATCCTCTGATGGGGACAATTTCTTATCAGTGGTGCTGGGCATAGAGGGCGATCCAGAATGGAAGCCTTAAGAGTATGGAGATGAATAATTTCAGGAAATATTTCCTGGGAAAACATATAATAATCTGAAATACAGAAAAACATTATTTTGCATTGTAAAATGTCAGTACTACTTCCTTAATTACTACATTGCAGAGAAATGTATATATTCTGCAAAAAGCAATGCTTTGATAATTGAAAATCTAGTACCAAAATGTGAGGAAATATCGTTATCGTAAGGAATTTGTGGGTCTCATTTATGTTTTTGTCTATTTTTCTATTATTCATTTTAGATGTCCCAGAAATGGAGGATGTGATTAGCACCTGTCAGGAAAGTCACAGTAAATATCTCTCTGAAGTAGCAGTCATGAATACTAACCCAGGGGAGGAAAAAGTGAGACTGATAAAAAGTTTTCATTTGAGCTCCATACAGAAGTCAGAACTGATTAAGAATAATGGGAACTCCTTAGGGATGAGGATAGAAAAGGTCACTGGGTGTCAGAAAATGGGTGTTTTCAGTGAACCTGGTAAGATGAGTGCTGCCTATAGTCCTCATGTGTCTTCTGTAGTTGAAGAATATAAACAATGTGAAAAGTCACACACTGTTGTCCCTCAGAGAACACACACAAGAGAGAAACCTCATGAATGTAACGTGTGTCGAAAGTCTTTCACTAAGAAATCAAAGCTTACTGTCCACCAGAGAACACACACAAATGAGAAACCTTTTCAATGCAACATTTGTGGAAAATCTTTCACCTGCAAGGCATATCTTACTAGACACCAGAGAACACACACTGGAAAGAAAATTTATGAATGTAACTTATGTGGAAAGTCCTTCTCCTGGAAGTCAACTCTCACTGTCCATCAGATAACACACACAGGAAAGAAACCTTTTGAATGTAACGTGTGTGGGAAGTATTTCATCCAGAAATCAAAGCTTACTGTTCACCTGAGAACACACACAAAAGAGAAACCTTTTGAATGTAACATTTGTGGAATGTCTTTCTCCTGCAAGGCATATCTTACTAGCCACCAGAGAACACACAAAGGAGAGAAATCTTATGAATGTAACATGTGTGGAAAGTCTTTTACCAAGAAATCACAGCTTACTTTCCACCACAGAACATACACAGGAGAGAGACCATATGAATGTAACCTGTGTGGAAAGTGTTTCACCCAGAAATCAAATCTTACGGTCCACCAGAGAACACACACAAAAGAGAAACCTTTTGAATGTAAGATTTGCGGAAAGTTTTTCACCCACAAGGAATATCTTTCTACCCACCAGAGAACACACACAGGAGAGAAAATTTATGAATGTAACTTGTGTGGAAAGTCCTTTACCAGGAAGTCAACCCTCACTGTCCATCAGATAATAGACATGGGAAAGAAACCTTATGAATGTAATGTGTGTGGAAAGTCTTTCACCAAGAAATCAAAGCTTACTGTCCACCAGAGAACACACACAAAAGAGAAACCTTTTCAATGCAACATTTGTGGAAAGTCTTTCACCTGCAAGGCATATCTTACTAGCCACCAGAGAACACACAAAGGAGAGAAACCTTATGAATGTAACATGTGTGGAAAGTCTTTCGCCAGGATGGCATACCTTACTGTCCACCAGAGAACACATACTAGAGAGAAACCTTATGAATGTAACATGTGTGGAAAGTCTTTCACCAAGAATTCAAAGCTTACTGTCCACCACAGAACACACACAGGAGAGAGACCATATGAATGTAACCTGTGTGGAAAGTGTTTCACCCAGAAATCAAATCTTACTGTCCACCAGAGAACACACACAAAAGAGAAACATTTTGAATGTAAGATTTGTGGAAAGTGTTTCACCCACAAGGAATATCTTTCTACCCACCAGAGAACACACACAGGAGAGAAAATTTATGAATGTAACTTGTGTGGAAAGTCCTTTACCTGGAAGTCAACCCTCACTGTCCATCAGATAACACACACAGGAAAGAAACCTTATGAATGTAATGTGTGTGGAAAGTCTTTCACCAAGAAATCAAAGCTTACTGTTCACCAGAGAACACACACAAAAGAGTATCCTTTTGAATGTAACATTTGTGTAAAGTCTTTCACCTGCAAGGCATATCTTACTAGCCACCAGAGAATACACACAGGAGAGAAACTTCATGAATGTAATGTGTGTGAAAAATCTTTCACCCAAAAGGGTAACCTTACTGCCCACCACAGAACACACACAGGAGAGAGACCTTATGAATGTAACCTGTGTGGAAAGTGTTTCATCCAGAAATCAAGGCTTACTTGCCACCAGAGAACACACACACAGGAGAGAAACCTTATGAATGTAACACGTATGGAAAGTCTTTCACCAAGAAGTCATACCTTATTTGCACCAGACAACACACACAAGAGAGAAACCTTATTAATGTAACATGTGTGGAAAGGCTTTCACCTGGAAGTAAAACTTCACTGTCCATCAGAAAACACACATGAAAGAAACCTTATGAATGTCATATGTGTGGAAAGATTTTCAGCTAGAAGCTACACCTTACTTTCTACCAGAGAGCACACACAGGAGAGAAATCTTATGAATGTAACCTATGTGGAAATTCTTTCACCCAGAACATACACCTTTCTGTCCATCAGAAAAAATCCCACCAGAGAGAAATGTTATGTATGTAGTAGGCATGGAAATTCTTTCATCTGGAAGGCAAACCTTAACATCCATCACAGAACACAAGGAGAGAAACCTTATGAATGCAACCAGTGTGGAAAGACCTGGAGTTCACAGTTTAACACACATAAGTTGATTCACACAAATGAAATAACTTAGGATTGTACCAAATGGGGAAAGTCTTTGATCTGTAAGAAAATTGAAATTGCAATACAGAACCAATACAGGATAGAGACCTTATGATATAGCAGAGGTGGAGTCCTCCAACTACAAGACACAGCTCAGAGTGCATCACAGAACACCCAAAACACACAGAAACACAGACACATACTCTTACACACAAAGAGGAGAGAAATCATATGTAGGAAAAAATGGAAAGGTTTTCAAGAAAAAGTCCTAACTCAGTTTCCATCAGAGAACAGACACAGATGAGAGAAAATACAAATATATCAAATGTGGAAAGTCCTTTACTAAGTATTCATAGATCCAAGTTCATATAACACCCAGCAGAGAAATCTCAAAAATATTACAAATGTGGAAGGTCTTTGACCTGAAAGGAATATCTCAGTGTTCATGAGAGAACTGACTCACATAGGAGAAAAGAAAGTAGTGCATAGAACATATGTGAAATGACTTTCAATCAGAACTGAGTCCTCAGCATATGTGAGATCATACACAGGAGAGAAATTATGAGTATAGAAAACATTTTGCCAGAAATCTTATCTGTACAGGTATCAGAGACCTGGACACATGACAGAACTTCTGTAAATATAAACATGAGAGGAAGTCTTTCAACCAGAAGCCAACCTTCAGCAATTATTAAAATATTCACCCAGGAAAGAAACCCAATGTAGGAAAATCTTTGTCAGAAAACCTCTGTAAATTATACAGAGAAATTCTTCATGGCAGAGGTAAGTTAGGGGTGATGGAAACCATTCTTCACTCTTCAGCTCTCTTTGAGCCAACATTTGTCATTATGTTGAGTGTGGATGGTGTCCTTCAATATTATCCAAAGCATGTAGAAACAACCAGTCTCGACAAGGAATTAAGAAATTGAAATAATTCACTTGTGTCTTTTATACTAAGGAATGGTGTGTCAAGGTAATTTGTAAACTCCTCTTAGAAATATGAGTTCTAGCCCTTTGGGACTGGATTCAGATCATCTCCAACATGCTTATGGGAACAATAGATGAGTAAATACTGTTATGATTGGAGGCAAGAACATGAGAACAACCATATTTCTACTGCTCCCTTAAGTCTCCCTCTGTATGTGTGATCCATGCGTTATAGTACAAATGACTTACTTATTCCAGTTCAGTTTTTGAATGGAAGATCTAAAGGAAGATATTAGTCCTTATTTCAGTACATACATAGTAGTAAAGTCTTTCTCAGAGGGGTAACAATGCTCAAAAGGAAATGTATTCATGACCTAACTCATAATAGTATAACCAATCTGTACAGTATGTTTACAATAAAATATATATTTAAAAATATGATAGATTAATAAAGCCTAGAATCTGTATTGTGCCTTGGGGGAGAACCCCAAAGTGTCTTCAGTGCTTGCTCTTTTCTTTAATTAATCATTGGTGATGAGCAACTTGTGATTGATTCACTCTTAGCCTATTTAGTTGTTCTGCTGAGCAAGCTATTACAAAACACCAGTGTGGATGATGTGTCGCACCTGTGTTATCTCATAGAGGGCCAAAGTGGATAGGATATTAGGGGAAATAATCAAGCACACAAAGATATTGATCAACCTCTCACAAAAATTGAAGTTAACAAAAAAATAAAACCATCTGCCACTTGAGTTACAGCATCACTTCTAGGCCCTGAGAGGAAGGAAGGAAAGAAGGAAGGAAAGAAAGAAGGAAGGAAGGAAGGCAGGAAGGAATGATGTGAGAGAGGGAAAGAGGAAGGGAAGGAATGAGGAAGAAGGAAGAAATAAACTATTCAAAAGAAGAATGTTTAATTTTTGGTGAATGTGAGAATTATTGTTTCAGAGGTGGGGCTCAAGAAAAATGGCTTTTACAAAAGTTAATTCTTGAACTGTTTACAAAATTATAAGGAGGCTGTAACATTTTATAAATTGACTTAATATTTCAAGAATATTAAGTAAGGAGGTCAGGTGTGGCTGGTGCCCTATTGGGCACATGGTGGATGGTGGGGTCTGGCATCTTGTCTTCATGCAGGGGCAAGGAATACCCCCTTCATCACTTGCCACCCAACTGATAGGTGTCGCTGGTTCCCTGAAAGCAGGGGTGAGAATTTGGTTGATATGTTACTCAATCTCTTAGTCCAGTGACTGGGACTGGAATTTCCTGTAGACCTCCCTCCTGCTTAGGCCCTATTTAGGCTGGACCAGCAGTGGCACTAGATGCTATGGTACATGTCTCTGTGATCATGTCCTGTGTCCTGTCTCCTGGCTTGTCTCTGGTCATCATAGTGTGCCAATTCAGCACTCTTTTCCTGCTGATTGGTTTCTTGGTGTTGTTTTAATTCTTTTTTTTTTTTTCCTTTCTGTCCTGTTAGCAAGCTGTCTGTTTGTGGACTGCAAGTCCTTGTTACAACAGGCTGCTTGCAGACTGCTAGCTGTGTAATAAACACTGCAGTATTCCATCTTCCATAATGTGGCTTCCAACAAATGTACTGTCTTCTTTTACAGAAACACAAAGGTTGACCTAAATTTAGAATTTCTAGAGCCAAGGTAGATGCCACTCTATAGTTATGTAATTAAAGATATCCGGGAGGCATTCAGAAAAAATGTGTGTTACATCAGAAATTGCTTAATTAGTAAACCAAGACCAAGACTCCATATCCTATAGAAGCCAGTCATTCTACATATGTCCACAGCTGTTTTGTTACATGAAGGGCTCTATTTTCACACTTTCATGAAGAAATGTTTTTGTGCCAATATGAGGTCTTCAACTCAGGAACTGAGTTGAAGCCAACGAGAGCTCCTAGGAATCTAAAAAGCTAGGAATCAAAGCATGAGCCCTGTGGGCTGTTCTGAAGAAATCTTTCTCTGCGAATAAGAGGTTTCATTTAGTGCTTCACCTCAGGCTTCCTGTGCCTTCAACAATTTTAATTGTTCAAAGAGAATTCTTAAATCCTGGCCAGGATTCCATTTACAAGATAAGGACAGTGGACTTCACATTGCCAGATTTAGCTAGGTTGGTAGCTTACCCCCTCCCCTCACACTGTTCACCCATCTGCTTATCTACTGAGGCCTAGTAAAGAAGAAAAAAATAGGGGGATTAGGAGGCCCTTGGCCTTTCTACTTGTACCATACACACACACATACACAAACACCAGCTATTTGGATATAGTTCATTCTCCCATTTTTACAAACTGGATGCTTTCCGATAAAGGATGGTTCATGGACCGGAGTCCCTTCTACCTAGGCCTGTCATATAGCTGTCATTAAAACTCATGAACCAACATACCACATTCAAAGTAGCCCTGAGGATAACATTTTATTTTTGATTTTATCACTTTTGTTATTATCATTTGGCTAATACTTTTGCTGGAGCTCAAAATTTAAGGGACTTGCTGCTCACTGAATTGGTAAAATACCTTTTCCTTCTTTTAGTTTAAAATCAGCAATTAAAAATGAGCAATTACAGTCCCTCGTGTGGAATCTTAGCTACTCAGGAAGCTGAAATTACAAAGGTAGTATTTGTAGGCCATCCCATGCAAAAGCTTCATGAATATGGTATCTTAGCCAAGAAAAGAATGGATCTGGTCATATGTGCCTATCTTGTTTGCTACTTGTGATATGTAATTATTACAATTAGTGTGTTGAAAGGCCCAGACAAAGAAACAAGACCCTAAGGTGAAAAATCAGAGATACAAAAGGGCATCTGGTATAGAAGGTAAAGGAAGCCTCACAAATTTTTGCCTCTGAATTCAACCTGAGGACCACTAATATGATCTGTGAAAACAATGCATTCTTCCAAATATTTTGTGGAAGAATTTGGATGTGGTTTACAGAATGATAGGTAAACAGACCTTTACTGAGATTGCAAAAGGACCTTTGCATATGTCTATATGATGTTATGAATTTTATATCCTATTCTGTGGAAACCATGAGTCCTGCTTGGATCAAGTAGTTAAGATCTCCTGATCTAATGGGGCACTGGTGCTTCACATCAGAATTCTTAGTTGCTCAAAAATATGAGGTTTAAAATCACAATTGAAAGGCCAACTAGGTAGTAAAGGCTGTGAGACTGTTATTGCCAATTATCATGAAATTTCCCACAATTAGTGCTGTGAATCATGCTGATAGGTTGTCATCACATTTGTTCCTTTATTACAAAATCTGAGGGACAGTACCCAGACCCTGAGTAGAAAGAACTCCAAGGCCAGGGAAGATATTTTGTAAAAATGGGTTCTTTGGCCTTCATGCAGGAAAGTTTCCAATCCTATAGAAACCTAAAATACTCCATAGGATATAGTCATTGTCCCTCAATTGAAGTTGATATTGAAATGTCTTATAAGTGTGGGTAATGATAAATTGTCACAAATAATTTGATACCTTTTGTCATGTGAATGCACATGCACATACCTTTATGTTTCTGACTAGTTCATAGTTCCTTGCAGA